GTATGACTTTTAAAGTCCTTTATTTCAATGTTGCCTGTACTTGCTCCTGATGGGCTAGATGTTTGAAACTAAATTTTGCTTTTTTGTTTTGTCATTTTCACCCTTTGGGCAATTATTTGGTCTTTCATTCCCAATAGTCTCAACTATCAGTAGTATGGACCTTAGGGCCCTACTGTGTGGTTGATGTTTGTCTGATTGCTGAGTACCACAATCTTTAGGAGAGCCAGTCACCTGAATTCCTCCTGCAGGAGGAATGGGTGAGTCCTATATTTTTCCTGGGCTGACAAGCCTAGGAGTATTTATTAAGTCAACTCTTAGTTCTTACTGTTACTTTGTCTTCAGGTTATTCCAAGTCACCAAATCTCCCTGTCTATAGCGCTTATTTCAATGGAGGACCTACTGTGTCCCTACTGTGTGCCTGTGTGAATCATAAGTCTAATTATGGACTTATGTTTAATTTTCTCCAAGTTGAGGGAGGCCTTATTGGCACACTCCTCACCCTGCCTGAAGTTCTCTCTGTGGGGCAGGAAATCACCTACACTCTTGCCAAGCTCACCAAGGTCTTACAGTTAGTTGGAGGGAGCTTTACTGCCCCTATTACTGCAGACGTATATTTAGGGGCATACTCACCATGCTGACTGGAGCCTGCTGAGATCTTTTTGGGTGAAGAGTTACTATATCTCCCATCGAGCTAGCATGGTTAATCTGCTGTAGTCCACAGTTCTAGGACAAAGGGTGGGAGCCAGAAATCAACAGCAGTATTAGGTCCAGGGAGTGGGAGGAGTCCCTGAGGGGCAGGCTGGTGTTGTCCATCCAGGCATTCGAGGGGTACATGGGAAGTGTGTGGCACAATGGCATAGGTGGTCCGGGACTGAGAGGTGGGCTGTAAACACTTTTTATACTGCATTATTTGGAGAATAATGAGAAGGTAAAAGGACTGAGCACATCTAGTGTGAAGCTTGGTCTCTATTTCAGCAGTGATTTCAAAGTGTGATCCCAGGCCTGCAGATTTAGCATCACCAATGGTCTTGGTAGAGAGACAGATTTTCCCTTCCTTCTGAGACCTGATGAATGAAAAAACCTGGAAACAAGTTCAATAATCTGTGAAGTCACAGGTCCAGCATTTTGTATGGTAACAGGTACTACACATGATTTTGTTGAAGACTAAAGTTTGAAAAACACTGTTACAAGAAGTCCATGAATTCTTAATCTTACCCTAATAGAAATGCTTGTCAAGGTAGGCATATCAAATGCATTTTTCAGCAACTCATTAACTTGGTATAACTCATTAACCTAGATATACAGACATATGGTACATGGGCCTCCATTTGTGCTTTTACTCTAAGTATTGGATTAGATTGCTTTTAAAATTTTCCTCTCAGTGCATAACTCTATGGCTGCTATAGAGATGTGTCATCTACATTCTCTACACACTCTTTTATGGTACTGTGACTTAGCTGAGAAATGCTGTTTGTTTTTTGCTCTTTTCATAATTCAGTTTCATTTTTCTTATCCTCTCTTTCTTCTGATTTTTCCTCCTTTCCTCCCCTTAACTCCTCTCCTCTCCCTTCCTACCATCCTCTCCTCTTTTCTTCTTTTGTTCTGAGGATCAAACTCAGAGCCCTGTACATGCTAGACTGGTGCATTACCACTAGACTACAACCCTGCTTTTGGAATTATTCTATTAATATAATATGGAAAACAATGTTAAGTATATTTTAAGTATTTAAGTAAAAGCAATACTAATCATCAAAAAACTTTGAGCAGCCATTAAGCTCCAGCTATGTTTTCACAGCACAATTTATATTATGTACATAGTTTTAATAATTAAAAGTACAGACACGTTCTTGATACATATACATTACTTGAAAGCAAAATTTGTAATAATCAAACATTTAAATTTTAATTTGATGGCTTTATTTCTAAAAGTTTACTCTAAAATTATCCTTGTACATGTAGACAAAGGTAGTTTAGAATAGTAACTGTTCCTATTTTGTTACAGCCAAAAATGGGAATCAAACTATACATGCATCAATAGTGAATTGGTTAAAGTAATCAGTGATCATCCAAATACTGACTCCTTACAGTATCAAGAGAATGTGGCCTCTGCTGTTAATGAAAGAGGGCTGCATACTGCTTGCAACGTAGAAAAGTAGTACCCTGGCATCAGATAATTAGGATTTAATTTATCAGCTCTGCCATTTGTTTGCTGGGTGACTATGGGTAATAGTCATGGGGAATAATATGCCTATTTCACAGAATTGTTGAGAGGACTAAAGGAGATCAAACAAGTTAGTCTTTTAGTATTTGTCATATAAAAATAGGTGACATGTTAGCACATTGACAACACATACAACAATGTGGGTAGACTAAAAAAAGGGATATCTGTACATGAATTACTTTAAAAAGTTTGGCAAGGATGCCCAAATGCTACTTTCCATAGTTGTTTCTACATATTCATTCTATAATCTTTGTTATTTTTTCATATACAGATATTACTTTACAGTTTGAAAAATTATTTTAAGGAAAAATCCATACATATAAAGGAGACTAATATCTAAAATATATAAAGAAACAAAACAGTCTAACAGCAAAAAGTCAAATAACCTGATTAAAAATGAAAGACTTAGACATTTCCCAAAAGATGATATAGAAATTGCCAACAGTTATATGAAAAGCTATTTAATATCATTGGGAAAATGCAAACTGAAATCATAGTAAGATATTATAGTATACTTCTTAGAATAATAGTTATAAAAAATTAAAAGCATTGATAAGCATATGGAGGAAAGGAAATGGTTGTATATTTGTCAATAAGAATGTTAATTGGAAACTAGTATGAGAATTTCTCAAAAAATTAAATGTGGAAGTACTATAAGATCCAATAATTCCATTTCTAAGTATTCACCAAAAGGAAATGAAATCTAAATCTCAAGGAATTATCTGCATCTCCCATGTTCATTGTGGCATTATTCAAAATAACCAAGATACAGAAACAACCTGTCTATAAAGCATCTATTGATGAATGAGTGGCAAAGAAAATGTGATACCCACTCTGGAATATTATTCAGTTTAAAAGAATAGCAAAGAAATCCTATTTGAGAAAATTTGTTTGAACTTGCAGCATAGCATACTAAGTGAAACCAGCGAGGCATGGAATAACAAAGATTGCATGATCTCACTTACACGTGGAATCTAAAAATGTCAACACCTAAAAGCAGGCCATTAGTGCTAGGGACTGGGAGATTGGCAGCCATGAAGAAATACCACCAAAGGGTGCAAAAATTTAGTTGTGTGGGGTTAGTAAGTTCTGAAATACAACTGTAAAGTACAATAACAATGTAATAATATCGTATACTTAGAGTTGCTAAGATTGTTGATCTTAAGTTTCACCGTAAACATGGTAATTATTTGAAACAATGGGGTATATTAATAGCAATGTATTTTACAACTAACAACCATTTCACAATGTAGATGTATATTAAAATATTACATTGAGCACTTTAAATATTGAGCAACTCTTCTTATAGTGAAGTTGTCTAATAATCTAATAATTTGAGCTTATTATTAGAGCTCATTCTTTATTGGAGATAGTTTTGTTTTAAAAATTTGGCTTATAAGTATTTTCTTTAGAGGAGTTTCCTTACCTTTTTAAAAATAGAAGAATTTGGGGGGATTTTTGTTCCTTTTGTTTTCTATTATGTGATTACAGTAAACTTTAAATAAATAATCAAGTGAAATGATAACTTCTTTCAATGCCACTGAAATCTAATTTTGTTTTTTTTATCCACACTTCAGTTTTTTTAAAAAAGGCAATTATTTAAAAAGAAAATCACTAATGATGTAAAATTAGTTATGCTAGAACTTCATTATTCCCAGGTTTGTTGGGACCTCCCTTAATGATACTTGACGGAATTTTAAGTTGTCTATGATATATTTCCCCAAACACTTTTGCCAGGGAATAATTTCATATGTCCATGACTTTCTTCATCCTCACACTCCCTTGCCATTCTCAACTTTCATCAGGGTAGCTACCTGCCTCCTATTTGTAAAGAAATGTAGAGCCTTCCTGATTTGAATTCCTTTGAAGCACTGTTCTCCCTGCCTTCAACTCTAACAGTATGACCGCCCCCTTCATTTTATTCCCTAAGAAGCCCTCCTGCCTGTCTAAAACTAATCCCTTTATATTTCTGCCCTTGAAAACACCAGGTGGTTATGTTTTATTTAAATTAAAAATATGAAAGACTTTCTTTTAATGAGGATTGAATAAAGGAAGAACCAATTATTTTGTAAAGAGCGAATACTTATATAAAAACCTAAGCAGTTGGATATCTAAGAGTTTAAATCTCAATACAGTGTAACCACATTTATCGGAGCAATGGAGTGAAATATCTAGAGAAAAGTATTGGTGGAAATTGAGCGAGAACATAGAGCAGAATAATATTGTCTAATTCCCATCTTTAGTTTTCTGTAATTCATAATTTTGTGTATGAAAATTTCACAATATGTTGAAGAAGTTCCACTTGCAATTTATACTGTCTGATAGATAGTGACCATTAGTTCTCTCTTTTTAAAAAAAAATATGTTATTACAATGGATTATAAAGGGCAAGAAAAGAGGATAAGAAAAACCAGCTAGATAAATTGTATTTTACACCTCCTTGCTTAAAGTTGCTCTTATATTTTGGATGATGGAACTTTTACATTGTATGCATTAGAATTCTGACACCTCATGAAGTTCAAGTACATGTTAGCAAGGAGAATGACTAAAGCAGCTGCGATAATTTGGATCGTTATTACCTTTGCATACTTTTAATAACTTTCTTTTGTACTAATTGTGTTCTTTGGAAAATCTTCCCTAACCTAAAATCTCTCCTTGAAATACTGACTTTTAATGTAATGCTTCTTTTTGAAAAAGAATGAATGCAAAGATCCGAAAATAGCTGATAATTCAGAGATCGTTGTATTTTGAGTATTTACCTAGCATTTACCTTCTATCAGAGAACCATCCTTGACGGAGTCAATACCAGAAGAGGAGGAAAATCAGCAGTGGCTGAGGTTACGCTCCGACTGGAAGAACGTCAGTGGGACCGCTTTGCACAGACTTCTGGTACCTGGGTAAGACATCTTTCATAAGAGCCGTGTGGAGTCAGATTGTGGATCAATAGTTTATCAGCAGGGTCTTACTTCCGATTTTTAACATAAGATAATCCAAATTTGTTCCATCAATAAAGAGCTTCCATAGAATGGCTATTGGTCTTTGTATTGCAATGATGGTTTAATTTCTTCCTTCTAGACATAGTTTTTTTTTTTCTTTTGGCTAATTACATCTTTCTTTAATCATAATTACCAAAAATATCATGGCTAGAAGAAGGAGCTTGTCTTCTAATCTTGGAGTCTCACTCATGTCCAACTTTCCTATAGATGTTACATGGAATTAGCAGGGGAAATTGAAGTAATCTTAACTAAAAACTTGGAAAGTCCAATAACAGAATAGCTGCAAAATGAAATTGTAATTATGTAGCCTTGCAAGTACAAGGTTTCACCCTCAAAATCATGGCGTCTTAGCTGGGTGTGGTAGTGCACACCTGTAATGTCAGCACTCTGAGGGGCTCAGGTGAGAGAATCAGCAAGTTTGAGCCCAGCCAAAATGAATGTGGAACTAACATGCTTAGGGATGAATTTCTTTTTTTTTTTTTTTAATCTGGGAGATTTAGGATTTTAATTTAGGAGATTAGGAGCACACCATACTATTTTTGCAAGGTATGTTTTTTGTTTTAATTTATATTGCAAATAATTATTTCATGGTTGGAAAAGAACTTAGTAATTAAGATTTAATCTGAAGTCTCTTGTATAACCACACTGTGAGGTCCTTAAACATAGACCATGTTCTTACCTTCAAAGTTTCCCTGAGAGTTTTAGAAAATTCTTCCTTTCCTGAGTCACACTTCCTATAATTTCTATATAGTAGTTGTGGTCAGGCTATCTAGAGTTATATGGAATCAATTTAATTTCCCTTTCCTCTTGTCAATATCTCATACACCCATAATTTAACCCTGACAGTTTTGGGTAAGATTTTTCCAATTCCAATATTCATTTCTGTTATCTGTTCTTTAATTTTTTAAAGTAGTATTTTGTTTTTCTAAGCCTATTTCTTAATGGGGGGCACTCTCCTCTCCATAAGCACAGCAATCTGACGTGCTCTGTCTTTAGCATGGATTCTCAGAGGCACCCTATACCCCATCCTTTTCCTATCTTAAGAATCATAGTTTGAGTCAACATCATGAGTAGTCACATCAGTCAAGATGATGCAAAAATATTTTTATAATAATTTCTCTTGCTACAAATAGGAAATTATATTATGATGATATTAAATAAACTAAAATAAATTTCTAAAAGAATAGCATCTCCATATGCCCCCATGGTGATATCTGACAACAGTTCTACCTTGGGAATTCTGGTAGAAAGAATAATTATTTCTCAAAGAGTATGACTTGCCCTAACAGTTGTATCTATGTCTTACTTTTCCTGGCAAATGTTTGAAGTGAATAGGAAATAAGTGACTCAGTGTTATGCCATTTTATGTTTCCAATTCTAGGCAGGCTTGTCCCAGCAGAAATAAGATCTCTCTTCTGTGTACTAAAGAAGGTGAGAAAACTTGTGGTGGAACAACCGGATAGGAACTTGACTGGATTGGCTGTGGGGAAAAAGTTCGTTTGTATGTAAAGAGCTAAGCATCTGGCTGGGTTAGCTGGGGTTGCTGGCAGCTAGCAAGCTGTGCCTTCTGCTTCTTGGCAGATTGTGGGCGTCGCCCCGCTGCCCGAATGAACAAGAGGATCCTCGGGGGCCGGACAAGTCGCCCAGGAAGGTGGCCATGGCAGTGCTCCCTGCAGAGCGAGCCCAGTGGGCACATCTGTGGCTGTGTCCTCATTGCCAAGAAGTGGGTTCTGACAGTTGCCCATTGTTTTGAGGGGTAAGTTCCATCTTTTCCTTTGCTTGGATCTGATTATTTTGTCGCTTTGTGATTCTCAGTGGCACAGGTACAAAACTCACAGCTATCTCTTTCCAAGTTTTCTTGGCAAATACCTATGTTACATGATGATTACATTCACTGCATGGAACTGGTACATACACATAAAAGATCTCAATTTTATTCATCCGCTTTCTCTCTGCATCTCTCTTCCTTTCCCCATCCTCTTCCCATTTGAAAGCAATTTCCCTACTTACTACTATCTTTTATGTTGCTCTTTATTTATATTTTAAGTTTCTCATGTAAAAGAAAACATGTGATATTTAAATTTACATGTCTGATTTAGTTCACTTGATATGGTCTCAAGGTGCATAAATTTATCCACGAATGACCCATTTATCCTCCTGTAGGGCAGAGTGGTACTCCACTCTGTGTAAATACCACATTTTCTTTATCCATCCATCTGTTGTTGGGCACATGGCCTTGTCTAATTCTATGAACTGTGCTTCTGTAAATATGGGCATGCATGCACCACTGTAATATGATGTCTTTAACTCTTCCAGGGAGATAGATAGAGGGGAAATAACTGGGTCAAATGAAGTTCCTAGTTTTAGTTTTCTGGAGAATCTCCATACTGTTTTCCATGGTAGTTGTATCAGTGTGGATCTCCACCAACAGTGTGGTGGGGTTCCTTTTGATGTGAGCCCTTGTCCAGAATTTGTTATTATTTGGTTTCTTCATGATAGCCATTCTTTCTGCAGTATGATGGAATTTCAGTGATCTTTTAATTGGCACTTTTTCTAATGGTCATGAATGTTGATTATTTTTTCATGTATTTATTGGCTCTTTGTTATTCTTCTTAGAAATGTCTATTCATTTCATTACTGATGTTTTTTTTTATTTTGGGGTTCTTGAATATTTTAGAGATTATTTCTCTGAATAACAGCTTGCAAAAAATCCTCCCATTCTGTAGGCTGTCTCTTTATTTTCTTTGTTTTTTCCTTTGTTGTGCAGAAGCATTTTAAACTGATATGACCCCACTTGTTGATTATCGGTATTGTTTTTTTTTGCCATTGGGACTCTGTTCAGGAAGTCTATGCCTATATACATATCTTTAAGGGTTTTACCCATTTTGTCTTCCAGCAGATTGTTTCTGTTTTAACATTTAGATCTTTGAGCTATTTTGACTTTAGTTTAATACATGGTGAGATATATGGGCCTCGTCAATCTTCTGCATGTTTTCCCAGAAACAGTACTTTTACTGGCAGATAATTTTCTATCCACATTCTGTGTTGCTTCTATATGTGCTGTCAGTGACCGACAATGAATATATAGTACTTAGGACTCATGTTCTAGGTAGAGAGGAATTGGAGGATTGATTCCTCAGCCAGAATCAGTCTCTTTTCTTGACTTCTTAAGTGTACTATATGCATATGAATTTAAACAGAGGTGATATATTTAGATAATACAGTGAAGTTCAGATGCAGGAGCCAATGAGAGGTGATTTGGGAAGGCACTAATACTAATATCTATATGAATTAGATTTCTCCCACAAAACAAAACCAACTCTCTCTCCTGTCACTCACTACGTCACAGAGTGGGTATGAGTGTGAGGTGAGATGGACTGTGGAAAACCTTAAGAACCATACCTGGTATCAATTGTTAGGATGTTGGTAAATGTAAATGTTTCTTTTAAAAAAAATATTGCTAAAAACACACATTCTGTGTTTCCCTCTAGCATTATAATGTGGGTACTTTTGCATTTTGCTAGCACTATTTAAGCCCTTCTACAGTTTCTTTCCTTTACTTCTTGGTCACCCTAAAGCAACCTGGTGAATGTTCCTCCACAGATATGGACACATTCGTTTTTCATGTGGTGTCATTGTCTGTTTTTAGCATTTGAAACTGCACTGTGTTCTTTAGCATTTTGGTTGCTCTTTTCATGTGGCAACTCTTCAGGTTAATTGATATAGCTCCAATTCATTCTTTTTGAAAGCTAAATAATATTGTTTGATAAAAATTTACCACTTTTCTGTTGTCCCTCAATTGATGTCCCTCAACTGATGTTTACTGTCATCATGGAGTTATTTTAACTTACTTCTATAAACCTTAGATAAAGCTACTTACACACTGGTACTGAAAGACAAAGGCTCAGATACTTTTTGCTTCTAGAGGACAGAGAATCAGAATGTGCATTTAATTCTACATAGGGATGGCAGAGATGGACACCTGGGTTTTCTTTGAAGTGCTAACCTAGTGAGCCCATAGAAATTTAAACAGAGAATCAAATTATAATGTGATAATGTTTATAAAATGGAAATGTGTATATCCAGTTATTTTGCTTACACTTTTGGAAAAATAATGCATAAGAATCAAACCAGTGCCTCTTTTGGGGTACTTCTAACATGTAAGACAGGATGATTGGAAAAGTCTGTGTAGTGTGTCAAGAAATACATGGCAGTGTTATTGCTTTAGAAGGGGCCAGATGTTTCTAGATATTTATAACAGTTCTGATTTGTAACTCTACGATAAGCAGAAGATTTTCCTAGCAAAGGCACATCCATCAAAAGGGGATTACCTAAATGAGTCCAACAGATCTGTAAGGGAACAGCATTTTTTATGTGCTAGTTAATCCAAGTTCATATGCCACTTGTGTCATTTCCTTTTTCACTGACAGGTCTATGAAGTTAAGGAGGAACCTTGCAATTGGGAAGAAATATGTGTTTATAATTAAGGAAATGGTTATATCAAAGTCCTTGGTCAAATTTCATTGAATACTAAACTTTACTGTCAAGAGGCGGCTGTGTATCCATGCAACATCAGAAATTGCCTAACTTCAAATAAGCCTTTGCTTGAATGTATTCTAATAAACTCAGTTCCATTTTATAGTCTCTCTAGTGGCACCAAAGCCCTTTAGAACTTTTAATTGTAAGGATTACTCTCTTCTGGGGCCATCAATTGTTGTAATTAGTGGGATTTACATCATATCCTGAGCCCATGCTTTGGCAAGGCCTAGCATGACCCATTTGTCAGTCTTCTGTCTCTTTTAATTATATGGGTGGAAAACAGACAATTTGTTTTGCTCTTCCATGGAGAGATACTTAAAAATGCCAAATGAAAATTTAAAACATGAGATACTAAACTGACCAGATCAAGTTTCACCTGCTTCAAGACCAATTCATCCTCTAAAGCTTGAAGGAAGAAAGACTTTGACGTTCAGGGGTAACTTAACAAACAACCTGCCTTCTCCTACCCCTGAAAGACTGGGAGAGAAATTCTCTAGGCTGGCACACAGCTAGTAACGGTCAGCAGTGTGTGATTCCTTTTCAGGAAACACATCCAAGACTGTCATTCTGCTAGACCAGAGCCCTCACCCTGCCATATCAGCATATTTTGATTTCTACTGCACCAGTTGTTCAGTCCAACAAGGTCTTTGGTTATTTTTCTCCCATTATCTCCGACTATCTTCTTCACTTCCTTTTCGCCCCAGTTTACCTAGTTGTCTGGGTCATCACTTTGGTCCTTCACCAGGACCTTCAATCCTTTCACTTTGATCTTTCTCCTAGATACACCAGGAAGACCTCCATGTGAGCAGTAACTTTTCTAACCTGACATTTCTGCTCTTCACAGTTGAGCAAGAGCATCACCCAACGAGACAGCTTTGTGCCACACCTAACTTTCAATTCAGCTGGACTCTGACTGTTACTAAGTATTAGTCTACTTATTTCTAAATTGCTTCCTGGCTCATTTTCCAGAAAACAAACTGTTGTGTCACTTGCTCGTGTTACTTGGTCTGTCTTTGAAAACACTTAGCAAAGGAACTGAGGTTAGTCCATCTTCTTCTTACTGAGGCCACCCTGTGTCTTTGTGATCACTGCTTTATTGTTTAGGTGCTTATGAACTATGCAAATCATTCACATTTTATTGGTCTATTTCTTTCAGTGATAATTTTCACTGAAACAGAAATATTCGTTTTAATCCAGACCTCGCATGGGTGCTAGTTCCCAGCATCACTATAAAGTGAACAAATGTGATTTAAAAATCCGTAGGTGACTGAGCTGCCCTTATGTTCCTAACTGCTTCATCCCTTAGGGTGGTGTTCTCTGCCATCTTCCCATCCACAGTGTGAAATATCCAGGTCTAAGAGTTGGCTTAGCCCAATGATGATGAACCTCTTAGTTTTCAATGAAAGCAAGCACCCAGCTGTGGTATGCATGACACAGGTTCTCCATCATGAGCTAGGACTGTGCCAACCTCTGTAGTTTCTGGGACTTACAGGAAGTGGAACTCTCACCTGCTCCTACTTTTAACACTTTTTTATAAAGCTAGCCAAGTTAAATTTAGCAAAGTATATTTGAACAAAGAATGATATTCTTGAGTCAGCCTTATAACCAGAATCAGTTTGGAATTGGCTCGTGCAGACTTGCTACCTGCACCTGACCAGCTGACTGTTGTTGGAGAGTATCAAGCACCTCATGCTACTGAGCTACACCAAATGTGATAAGTCTTAAATGAGTGTCCCACACCCTGGGACATTTCCTGTATCCTTCACAATGAAACAACTCTCTCCAAATCTCCATCACTCTTACTGATCTCATCTCGTACTTTATGGATAAAATACATACTTTTCACCTTGCTTCCTATTTAATTCTAAAGAAGTCTCTCTATTTTTGGCTACATCTCCTAATTTGCCTTGAGTTATGATGGGAAATATGTGTTCACTGTAACTTATTTCATCTTCTCTAGTTCGCACCAGTTTCTCTTTCAGTAATCATGCCTTTGGGTCACTGATTTAAATCCCCTCTTCCTGACATTGCTTACACCTTCAGCTGTGGCTCCCTGTATGCTCCCACTTATGCTAAAACTCCTAAGAGCCACTGTCTCCACTTTTCCACAGAGCCTCTTCTTTGCTCATTCTGGTGGGGCTCTCACCAAGGTCAGAAAGAAATAACACTAACTAAAGTTTTTATCTGCTTTAATTTTGTCAAATCTAGTGGTGAATT